CATTTACAGTACAAACAGTATCATAGTTTTACTAATGTATTCTCTGAGGATACACTGTAGGGCTTGTGGTGATCAAATCTGGACATCATACAATTAACTTTTCACTTTTCAAAATATTACTTCTCCCCAGTTACAAAGAGAAAGCAGTGGAGCTGTCTGAGATACACCTGGACCGCCCTGTTCAGCCTTTGGACCTGGCTGTTTTCTGGACTGAGTTTGTCATGAGACACGGAGGAGCCTCACACCTAAGGGTAGCTGCACATGAGTTAAACTGGATTCAGTACCATTCCCTGGATGTCATGGGCATTTTTGTCATAATTCTCCTAACTGTTCTGTGGGTGACACTCAAATGCTGCTTGTTCTGCACACGCAAGTGTTTCAGGAAAGGGAGTGCAAAGAAGAAGAAGAGAGAGTAGTGTTTGCAATGCGACATTCATTAGGTTTATAAATACTGTAATGAAGTGAAAAATGGAGGTTGAAACACTGCAATCACATTTAAAGCGGGTGTACTGTATATATGCTTACATATATACATCAGGATGTGTGTGTGTGTGTGTGTGTGTGTGTGTGTGTGTGTGTGTGTGTGTGTGTGAGATATGTGTGAATGTGAAATCTGTGCCATTATTACATTGTCTTTAACACGTGTAACATGATGCTGGCAATGATTGATTGGAGCCATCCTATGGAAAACCAACTTACAAAATAAAATTTGTTTTGTAACTTTATGGATTTATTTGTTTTATTTTTTTATAACAGACTAAGGGAACTTTTGGGTAATGGTTGAACTGGCTGCAGGGATCAGTTGGTTTGTTGTTGTAATAGTTGTATTGCTCATGTACAGCACATGATCCGCTACACTGCCTTCACAGAATTATCCTTAACAGAGCACTTTGGGCAGTATAACCCCCTTTAGCAGCCATATGGGAGGTTCACAGCTCTGTCACATTTGTGAATTTAGGCCACAAAAGCTGTCTCAACCATAACTGAGAGGCAAACTGGGATTTATTTCTGCTCTGCTTTAAACCTTTAGGTACCTCATCATTTTACTACGTATAACTTAATAATCAACTTGTTAGCTCCTAGCTATCCAATGTGTCATTTTTATAGGCTTCATCTGATTTAGACATAGCTAACAGTAACCAATAGCCTCACTCTTACATTATTTAACAAGATAATAATATAAGATAGTAATATAAGTTAGCCTATATAAAGCCTATATAAATTGCTTTGTTACTGCACCAACTGGAGAAAGCTACTACTAATTTGCCTCATTTGGCTCATTTGTGGAATATTTCATTAACTCATATATTTAAGTGTGATTTCTACATTTGTCTAACTGAACAGTTGAGTGGCAACCATTCATCTTCATGTGAACATGATGTGGAATTATTCCCTGAAGCAAATAGCAACAGCTGATGGCTGATAAATACAATCACTGTCAAGGTTTGCCAGTGAGCAGCAGTTTCTTAGGAATGTATCAGAGGGCTCTCAGAGGCTGGTATTAGGGAAATAGAGGGCTGTCATCTTTTATTTAAGTGATGCTAGACTTTGAACCAGTGACCTTTCAGTCAAAGTTTTACTTGAGACCTTCAGACCGCTGGTAGTTTGCTGTGTAGACGCATCATCTAACAGCCAATTATCCTGTCCTCAAGGAATGTTTATTGAAGACAGTCTTCATTTTCACTCTGACTCCACCTCTTAGAGTATAACAAGAAAATGTAGATGAAGCTGTGGATATATTGTAGCTTCAACAGGCCACAGGGGCACAGATGTGTTTAATGTGAGCACAAGCTCTGTCTTTGTCCTCCAGTCAGTGAGTGAGAAAGAAGTAATGTGTCGCCGTGGATTCAACCTGGGTTCTGTTAAATGTACCTGCACCCCGCTGGAATGTCACTATTAAACGCATTTAAAAAAATGTTCTTGAGTTTGTCAAAAGGATGAAAAAGAAAATCAACTTTGGTATTCATCAAAAAAATTCAAACACGCTTTTCTACTTTAAACATTACCTCACTTCACCTGGTTCGCTGTCTCCACCGTGGTCTCTTTAACTGTCCACTCTGTGTGTGTGTGTGTGTGTGTGTGTGTGTGTGTTTCATGAAAATATGGCCAGCATTTTTTCTGCGGACAGACAAACAAACAAGCCCACAAATAGCACGAAAACAGAACCTCCTTGTTGGAGGTAAGTATGGCATTTGGCCTGCGGGTGGACCCTAAACACAGGACAGCATTGCTTCATTTTTGGTGAATCTCCTTTTGCTAGAAGAACTGTATAACTATCATACCATTACTAATCTTACTGGGTGTTTTGCATGACAGCATTTTGAGTAGTCTGAAAATTATTTTTATCATGTTCTTTATTTGCCTTTTTCTTCAGGAGCAAGCTTAGAGCCAACTGTATGCCCAATTTGTATTTTTTCTTTAATAGGACAATTACAAAATGGAGAGTCTGACAGTAGGGTAGTTTATTGATAAAACAGGGCCGAATCTGAAAATCTTCATCTGTGCCCTGTAATTGCTACATATAGGCTACAAAAATTGCAGATATTTCACTATTACTTTTGTTATTATTTATTACTGTGGAGAATGCACAATAAAAGAAGAGCTACGTACTAAAAAAAATAATACCAGAGTGCTGCAGTCTCGATTATTTGAATATTGCTCCCTTATTACTTCTAATGTCATCCCGACCAGTATACTGGTATTTTTTACCATCTGCGGTATGTAGTTGCAGCTTTTGTTGTGCTGGTAACCCTCCCTTCCTGCCTTACTGGTTGGGGTCGTGCTGATGGAGACCTCATAGCTCTAGCAGTCTTCCTGTTATTAAGGAAGCTGTTTATTGTAAGTGTGAATTTCTGTGAACAATTTGCAACGTACAAACTGTTGGCCACCAGAAAGATGTTTAAAAGTGTACAGGAAGCAAAATTTCTCACCTGTTTCTCACCCATTAGGCCTATATGTTACATACATTTTTTCCTTTTCATAATTTTACTGAGCTACATTTAACAGTTCTGTTAAGTGTATTTGACCTCAAAAGATGAATTCCAACTCATTACCTCAAAATAAAACCAAATTTGTGCGAGAATGCCTATTTTTTTTTTTCCTCATTTCATCAGCTTCTAATCGGTGCAACCCCCCCGGTTGCACCGATTAGAAGCTGATGAAATGAGGGCTGACTGCTGAAGATACCTGCAAATCCAACTGAGCCGTTCAGTTTGTGGAAAATGTTACGACCAGCAGCCTCGTATGACATTAGGGTAATTTGATTCGACCATCTGCCTTATCAAGATGGCTCCACAAACGTTTTCCTGTGGCAGCTGAGAGAGTGCAATATTTCATAACCGTTCCAGGTCCAACATTTCACACCAGTGGAAACATCAAAGCTGGTTTTAGCTTCCCTTATTTAAAAAGGACTTTGAGAGAGCATTAGCTGCACTTCTAACCTTCTACGTTCCCCATCATGAATAGAAATGGAAAGGTGAAAAAAAGGTGAGGATTGCCATCGGCCCAGTCCAACTAGACACTTCTATATTGGTCCATTAAGACCAGAACTTAGATTATCCTTAAAACAATTACACAATCCACAAACTGTTACATACCTGTTGTGGAAAACACATTTACGTATACATATTGGGAATGTCATCTCCACCTGTTAGGTGTTGTGTATAAGAAAAATGAAGGACAATGAAGGAGCACTGTGGAAAAGTGATAATACATCTTCTCTGTAAGACCCAGTGGTAAGCAATAACAATGGCAAATCTCTTCAGCTTAGAAAAAAGAACATCGAGTAGACTGTGTTTTGTGACCTGTGTTGTAGACCTCATAAACATCACCATGTTACAGTACCAGAAGTGAGGGATGTAGCCTATATGAGCTGGGCTGTAAATTGCTTTTACAGGTGGATTTTTTGCCACAAAATGCCTACAGCTCCATCTAGTGGTCAATAGACACATGTGGCAAAGGATGTAGGTTTATGGCCTCTCCCTCATAAAGCCATTGCTGCTCTAATCATTTTGTCTAATAATTTACTAATACTGATGACATGATAGTTTATCCAAATCACTTGTCTGAAGGGTTAATCAGACATTATTCTTCCACTTATTTATTGAAGGTTATTGAAGGTTTAAAATTTGAAAAAAATAAAAAAACAACTAATATTAACAGCTTAAATTGACATATAATCTACACCCTAAGCACCAAGGTCCAGAAATACACAAAGTCTCTGCGGACAACATAGTCTTGCAAACACCTCCAGCAGACAAGCACTTAAGTTACTAGGTTCAGTACAGGACTTCAAAATGATCTGTGTGTTTACAGCTTCTTTAAACACTAAATTTAAAAACTGTACTTGAATTCTAGAGTTAAATGCTAACATATATATCTGTCTTTTAACATCAAATAACCTTTGGCCTGAAAAAACAGCAATGGTGTGTGTGTGTGTGTGTGTGTGTGTAGTTCAGTGTGTGAGGTATGACCACCTTTGTACTCATTGTGGTTAATGTGGGCTTAATACACAACTTTCCACTGAACAATTAACCTCTTACCTAACCTCTCTGCCTTCAGAGGAAATGTAGCACATGATAAATATATGAATATATATATATATATATATATATATATACATTTATTATGAATATATTTATGTGATTATCTACAGTAAATATGGACCTTTCTGCTCTTTGGCCATGAAATAAATAGTACTTATAGACAGTACCCAAACTCCTCTCTACAGCACACTTAAATCTTAAACAAAGTTATCTTTTCAAAATTCATTACTTTTTTTTGGTTACTACAATCCCACATGTGAAGGCACAAGAAAACATATAGTATAATAAAGTGAAGTGTTTAGATTATTACTGATCTAACAACGAGTGTGGCACGTTGACGGTTTTATCTGGTTTTATAAGAGGGTCTCACTTATGCTGCAAGGTGTGAACTCTTCTGTGCAAGAACTATTTTGACAACCTGCCCACAAAGTTTCCGTTGTGAGTTGGAAGGTTGACTACAAAAGGTAGCAGGGGGAGACTGTGTGCCAGACTCTTCAGCTTTTGACTTCTGTACAACAGCCATGATCCACGCATACTGCATTATATTTGTCTTTCAGCTGCTCTCCCTCACTGGTAAGATTACATGAAATTCTTTTCAATATTATTGCTGAGACGTGACTATAAATAATATTTATAGTAATAGCAGTTTTTAAAGATTACAGCTGATTATTAAGGAGCCTTTTTAATGGCTACAGATTAGGCTAGAATAAAACAGCCCTACTTTTTCATTCGGTAATAACAATAATAATAATAATAATAATAATAATAATTTGAATGTTGAGGTATTTGCATTTTATAATATAATCTGTATTAATTTACCTTCTATCCTCGTGTAAGGGGCTTCTGAGAGTGGCATCGTGGGTGGTAAAGTTTCAAAGCCTCATTCCAGACCCTACATGGCATCACTCCAGTTTGATGGACATCATTCATGTGGCGGGATACTTATTCGGGAGGATTTTGTTCTAACTGCTGCACACTGCAAAGTGTGAGTTTATTTTACATCGATGCAGAATCATACAGGGACACAAAAAATATTGTTTTATGCCAGTCAGTTAAAAACGTAATGGCTAACAATTGTTTAAACTGTTATTTGTCATTTACAAATGATTTGTTGTTAATTACTTTTAACAGTTTAGTATTATAGTGTTATCCAATTATATACATGAAAGTACAAGTTTGTCAGAGCTTGAAGACACTATGGAATTTGCTTTCAAGGGTTCTTAATGTTTTGTTTTGTTTCCATTTTTGTCAGGCCGAACCGCGAAATGATGGTGGTACTTGGAGCACATAACATAAGCAAGAAAGAGAAAAGTCAGCAAAGTATCCCAGTGGCTAAGTACATTCCACATCCGGAATTCACTGGAAAATATGATTATGACATTATGTTACTGAAGGTAAATAAACCGTGTAGATGTTCATATTAAAACTCAATCAATTAATTCAAAATAATTACATTTCTGTGTAAAGTAGTCTGCAATCGAGTTGAGGCGAGCGTCTCAGTTTCATTTTCTTATGTTGAGTTTACGGTGCCCACACACACTTGCACTGAAGCTGGTGAGGATGTGGGTGAAGTGCTTTACTTAACGGTTTAAGAAGACATAAACACACAATGAAATGTCTGACATATGAGTAAACTGTTTTGGGACAATAACTGCTGTGATTTACAGTTCTACTCTGATCTCTGTTTCAGTTAAAAAACAAGGCCAAACTGAATAAGTATGTGAAGACAATCAGACTACCAAAGAAAGATGGGAAAATCCCAGCTAACATTAACTGTACAGTTGCTGGCTGGGGAAAAACTGGAGTTAACAAGCCTTCCTCAGATGTGCTGAAGGAGGCCATCGAGAAGATGCAATTCAACTTTGAGTGCAAAAAAATATGTCCAGATTACTTTGTCACTGATCGCATGATATGCACCAAATTCACCAAAAAGAACGGAGGGATTTGCCAGGTAAATCAAATCAAGTATTTCAATCATTACTTTACACCACATACAACAAAATCCATCAATAATGCTATACACATGGAGAAAACTGCTTTCCTTTATTCATGAAAAACAAGTGTAATTCTTTTTTTTATGGACGACTCAACCAAGTCTTTCTATTGCCTTTGTTGCAGGGTGATTCGGGCGGACCGGTTATCTGCAACAAGAAGCCTCAGGGTATAACAGCTTTCACCATCGGAAATGAGTGTGATAATCCCAAGTATCCTCATGTCTTCACTAAAGTTAATTTCTTTATCCCCTGGATTAAGAAAATGATGCAGGGATAGGGGAATGTTGCATGAGCCACTATTCAGAAGCCCAGAATATCAGCGTTTCTTCATTTGCTTATTACATAACTTTTCTTAAGAAAGCAAACATTTAAAGATAATTAAAAGTCTTAGTTTAAAAAAAATAATTCATGTAGCTAGTACATGTATGTGACTGTTTTGCAGATTGTATTGAAAAGGTCTGGAATTAAAAACTAAACACTTTATATGTATAGCATGTCCTTTCACATCATCTTCCTGAAGCATGTCTCTTCATTTCTAAAGTGTGCTTGACTCCCTTTTGCAAAATTTCTGTGCAACTATTTACAAACGTATCTTTATTATTCTAGAGTTAATTACAATCAGATGAAAAAGTGTTCAGAGGGTTTTGCATAAAGAAGAAAAAAAGAAAAAGAAAAAAAAACAGTGGGCGGAGGAGCAGGGGGTGCAGGTATAGAAAGTACGTAAATGAGTGTGACCTTACTCGTGGTGCAAAAGCCCAAAGGCATCATGGTCAAAACCACAGACCACTGTTGTCATTCATAGTGCAAACTTTTGAAGTTGAACCGTTTTCTGTCCGTGAAACCTGTCATCTGCAGAGAAAGTGAAAGGAATGTGCTGTTTCACTGCTACAGTTCACTTTAAGTTGAAACCTTAGTCTTCCTCAGTAACAATTTTTAGGTAAAAATGTTCTTTTACCAAAATAATTAGGACATTTGTGATTTGCTTATGTTATTTTTATGACAGCAATCCAAACTGGAATGCAAAACTGACTCACCTGACTTGGATCTCTTGTGAAATATCTCTTCTCTATAACCTGTTAATAGATAGATTGAGATTTTACAGAGGTTACAAACCCGATACGTACATTTAAAGGGGGAACTTTGTACTAAAAGTTGTTCAAGATCAGTTTTTTACTGATTAATCATTTTGGAGAGTTATATATATATATATATATATATATATATATATATATATATATATATATATATATATATATATATTGTTCCCTCAATGTAACACATCAAATAATTAATATAACTGTCAGCAAATATAGATTGGAGGAGGCTGAATGACATTTGTCTACATGGTAAACATTTGATGGTTTCTGCTCCCCACAATAGATCCACACCGTGTGTAGTGTATAAAGTGTATAAATCTGCTTTTCATATTGTATTTAGTGTCAAGACAATCTCTTCAAAAACAGAAAATAATATATTACAGAAGTCTCACCTTGTCAAAGAACCTGCTAAGTTTCACTGCATTTGACGTGCCTGCAGCAAGATACCTCGGGTTGGTGCAGTCCTGGGAAAACAAATAGCACCTCAGCCACAAAACCTCATAGAAAGTGAAAGGTTTTTTAAAACTTTATGTGTAGAGTGTTTTTATAGCTTCTTTCAAATATTTGTAGGAAAATAAAGAATACTGGTTAAGTGTTTTTCATTCTGTCTTCCTTAAAACTACCACTAGATGTCACCAAAGTCAGAGATTTTCATATCGTACATATATGGGCTAGATCTCTTTTTATTCTCCATTTTTTTTTTGTGACAGATGATAACATAGAGAATTGATGTAAAATGTTTATAAAGCAATAACATATATGTTTTGTATCTGTGACAACACTTGGGATGTAAGAAGTAATTTCTGAGTCAATCAAAACAACAACAATTTTGCAGCTGATATTGCAATCATTCAAACATTAAACTGAACGATATAAAAGATTCTCTGTGACTTCAAACATGAAACACACGTGTATAAAACATTTTCAGTGCAAATCCCACTATGCAAGTTCTCAGGCACCTTACAACAAAATGAACTCCATAGAAACAGATAAATGAGCTCTTCATAAATGAAAGGAGGATGGGTGTAGGCGTAATGTACAATGTAATGTTATATTAGCCTTTTCCCTACGAACACAAGTAATATTTATGTTTACTTTCCATTTCTCTAATACAGAATTGCTGGAATTTTTCCAAGTCAGGTTCATGTTTGTATAATTTATTGGGGTTTCTCCTAACCTAAGGTTTCTTAGGTTAGTGAGAATCAAAAACAAGACTCCCTCAGCACGCTCATAACAGCTTATACTGAGAACAGTCCTCTTCTCTCATATCATTACTTTCTAACTCAGCGCTGTTCTCCAGCAGCTCTGTCACTGTGGTGAGAAAGAAAATAAGCTTTGCGCTCTCTATCGTGGGCCAGATGCCAAATAGCACTCAGGTATTGCAGCTTTATTTGTCTTATTATAGTTGAACAAGGTTTTGAAACAGAGGCCGACGTTTGAATGCCAAAAAGCTGTTATTGTAACACATAAACGCAGTCAGGAGTGTAACAGATTCCATTATTGAAAGGGGCTTAAGGTCAGCGTGTGTAGGAATGAAAGAGTTGACCTACGAGATTGATCTCCTCCGCATTGAAGTCTTCAGACAGGAAGGCCGTCCTAGTGAGGACTTCATTGCGTTTGTTCTCTGGGATCTGGTCAAACTTCGTGCCAATCAGCAGCAAAGGCACTGGGTTCTCAGCAAACTGCTCTCTATCATAGTCACTGCAGAGAGAAAAAAGATTTTTTATTTATTTTTCTGGGTAATTTGGGGTTTTATATTCTATCTTTGCACGTATTGTATGGTATTGTGTGTTTAAATATTATATATAATATACACAGATACTCCTCATTATCCAATAATCAATTTAATCTCTTTAATCGTGCGTCCTACGTCAGTGTCTATGAGTTTTCCAACCTGCAAAAACAAACACCAAAACACTCATCTGCTTACCCGTTTGAGACAATAACTCCTGTTGGAGAAGAGTCCTTGTTCAAAGCTTCTAGTGACCAGCGGTAAAGATTCTGAGAGGATTTCTTATTTGTTAAATCGTGTACCAACATAATTCCTTAAGAAAAAAAAGAGAAAAAATAACATAACTAAATAATGGCAACCTTGGTGGTTTCCAATTTCTTTAATTTATCATATAAAATCTTTACCGTTAACAGAATTGTAGAAGACGGCTCTGGTGCTTTTGACACTGCTGGCACTGCCAATGGATCCTCCGACATCCCAGAGTTCAATGTAGTAGGTTTTCTCCTCCGGGGTTCCCTCCTTATAGTCTTGGACCTGTAGTTGAACATTTATACTCAACCCTCTGAGTATCTGCATCATGTAAGTGCAATACCTATTTTTATTTAACATGAATGTGTTGAATAATCAGTGGTGGAAAGTAATTAAGTACATTTTAAGTGATATACACATTGATGCATCATTAGTCCTTTAAAAAGGTTGTTGCATGAAGTGTAGTTTATCTGAGATTAATTTAAAATGCCAGCAGCATCATTTAAGATCTCATCTCAATGACATTTCGTAAATGAGGAGGTGTTTGACCTGCTTACCCGTACATCCACAGAGCAACCAACGGTCCATGATGGATTTCCTAACACCTGATTCTGACATAGCAGATGGACCAAGGAAGATTTGCCCACCCCTGCCAAAGACAAGAGAGGTGGGTGGGTGGGTGGGTGACTGAAATAATTTATGGGATCAATGCACAAGGACACACATTCAGTCCAGTAGATAATATATGGCTTTCAGTCTTGATGTAGTGCTATAAAGTTACTTCTGCTTCATGCAACATCATGAAGACGTGGCTCACTTTTATATGATTACAAGACTCCACTGAAAAAACATGTCAGCGTATAATCTCCATCGTTTCCATCAATGCATGTACGTTGTGTAACATCAGTAAACATCTTTAACGAACTACTTGGTGTCACTTTTTGATTCGGCGTATATTTGTACACACATTTTCATACATTTGGTGCTGATTCATCTCAAACTAAGCAACCGTCTTACATTCAAATACACTACTTTTGTCAGCAACGAGCAGTGTGAATACATCGTAACAGGTGCAATGCAATTAACCCTAAATTCACCGGTGGACACGACAGGTATGTTGCGTCAGGTGTGCAGGTTTACAGAGCCACTGCAACAGACTTCTGACCACAGGTTCAATTCCCGAAATTAAAGATTAAAAAAGGGTTGTAAACCGTGAGACATTTGCCCAGACTAAACAAATGTCTTTAGAAATAAGCAGACACGTTCGTATAAGGGTCTGAATTGCCTAAATTGGGTTTAACTTACCAGAATCCCCTAAAACTAGTACTTTCACCCTGTCAAGAGAAGCCATTTTTGTTCCGGAAGAAAACAGTGGAAAGCCCGCCTTCAAACATTCCTCCTGTGATCTGATTGGTTAAAAAAAAGGCCTACGCGTTCACAGAGGAAGCAGTGCCATTCGTCAAAATCCAAATCAATCAACATTCCATTGTTTCTATTGGCTACTGAGTGCTCCGTTTGACGCGGTTGGGCTTTTCTTTCCGGTGTTGTCCTCTCAGTGTGATACATGAAGCGTGCTAGCCAACCTAGCACTGTAAAGATTCAGTGTAAACGGCGTCCAGTGAGTTTTAACTGCGTTTGTTAAAGGCAGAGTCAGCGTACTACTATGAAGTGACTTAAAGGAAGAACAGTGGGTGTCTCGTATCGGTGGAACATAACGTGAAAGAGACACGTTATCGGGTAAGGTTGGCGTTAAGTGGCTAACGGGTTTTTTTTTTTTTTTGCAAAGTAACTTCATGTTTGCCTCAGTTAACGTAAAGCAACCTCTGCGGGCTCTACGTAAAGATAACTTACTTACTGATAAAGCGACTGTAACGTTACTAACTAACTACAGTATCCTCATTAGTAGTTACAGCCATCTTTCTGCTGTTAACTGTGTGTGTGTGTGTGTGTGTGTGTGTGTGTGTGTGTGTGATTTTGTCTTTGAAGTTGCCACCATCGGAACAGGCAGTGTAATCGACGTCTGGCCGTATTAACCATCACTCATGTATAGGTTAGCACAAAGCAACAGGATCATGTGTTCGTTTAAAAGTTGTCCACCACTTAAGCAGAGGTATTGGGTTTAAGTAAATCCCCTTAAAGGAAAAGATGAAGTAGTGAGTAGTGTCCATGTGCAGTATATGTGTCCTTCTAAATGTCACCTTATTTCCCTCCCAAGCTTTAAGTGATTAAAGTCACCTGCCTTCTGATTTATGCATAATGAAGTACCTAAAGTTTCTGCCTGCCTTCAGATCTTTTTACACAATATCTCGTCTCCCTCCACAGCTGAAGATGATAGAACCAGAGCTACTCACCGAGGTCCCTGCGTCACTTAAGCGGCTCGCCAAGCAGGTCGTGAGGGGTTTTTATGGAGTGGAACACGCCTTGGCCCTGGATGTGCTCATCCGCAACCCGTGTGTTCGCGAGGAGGACATGCTGGAGTTGCTCAAGTTTGACCGTAAACAGCTGCGCTCAGTCCTCAACACACTGAAGTCAGACAAATTTGTCAAGTGCCGCATGAGAGTGGAGACGGCCCCTGATGGCAAGACAACGCGGCACAACTATTACTTCATCAACTACAGGTGGTTATCTTCTATTTGGTTTGCGTTTAACAGTGCAAACTCATAAGACACAATAAAACATAAGAATCTATCCGTATTAATGGGTAGGGATAGAATCTAGGTATTGGCGGTGGTGATGTCTCATATCGGCAGAAGGCCCCTAACACTTTTAGGAAGAATAAGATCTGTGTTCATCTGTATTTTAAGTACGAAAACATGAGAAACTAAACTGTAAATTACATATAAGTAACAGTTAATAGGTGCCACGCATTCTTCCTTTAGGAAAAAAAAACCTCTACTTACTACTTTTGTAGAGTAGACTACAGAAGGTAAGAACAGCTATGTGTGCAATTAATTAGTTAATGATTTTATTCTCATGAAAACAAAAGGTTGTTTCCTCTTACTTATTACTTGTGTTTATCAGAGATCAGGGTTCAACAGGAATTTTTACACTGACTAAAATGAGCCAGCAGCCAGGAAAAGGTACATGGAAAAAAGTCTTGTCACTGCAGGGGTCTTTGAGCTCATTTAATAAATATTCTCCTGATATAATTTGTCAGTATTGCATCACATTGTCAGGAAATTATATGCTCAAATTAACTCTCAGATGTACATTCTTGTAACAACCAGTCAGTTATAACTTCCCTTGATAGTCATGATGGTGATTGATCTCAGTAATGGCATTTAAAAAAAAGAATTGCAAGCGTGGCCGTTCTTTCCTTCCGTAGTGAACTAGAATCCTCCCAAATATTTTAGTTTCTTCTCCAAATTTAACAACAGTTTGTTCTCTCATGTCAATATTTTACATTCTATAAACCTTTACTGGTTTACTTATCTGATATTTTTTTTTTAGGGTTCTGGTCAATGTGGTCAAGTATAAATTGGATCACATGCGACGGCGCATTGAGACAGATGAGAGAGACTCCACCAACCGTGCCTCCTTCCGATGCCCCTACTGCTTCTCCACCTTCACCGATCTAGAAGCCAATCAGCTATTTGACCCTATGACAGGTAAACATTAACAAACAAATTATATTACAACACTAACATCACACAGATAAGTTGACTGTTGTGACTTTGGTTGAAAAAAAATAATAATCAGAGGAGAAGGTGCTCAAGGTCTAATATGTTTTGTGTTGCTTGTATTGAAGCCTTATGCAGGTTTGGGCTTCTCACAACCAGCCAAATAAAACTGAAAACCGTCTGTAAATCTAAAGTCTCATTAAGTTTAAATTCAGTACCTTTATGGTCTAAATTGGGAAGGTCCCTTATTTGTCTCCATTTTGTCAGCAAAAAGAATAAAAAAAGAAAAAAGATAGACAAGGAGAACATTAAATTCAGTCTACCTATGACACCTGATGAGTAAATGTTAAGTAATCTAGACCATATATATGCTAGTGCAGCTGTGTAACCCAAATTAAACAGAAAATTTGAGTTCTCATGTCTGTTTAATTTTGAATAGATAAATAATTTCAATTTCTGTTTTCTTGGATACAATCAAGTGTTTCCATGTAACCCAGGCAATATGTGTTTGGCCTGACTTGTTAGCACAACAAAAGTATAAGTGTAACTTATCTTTGATATCTGATTCTCATCTCGCCTCAATAAGGGCTGGCAGCTGTCTCAAACCTTGCTTCTAAATAGGCATCACATCACTCCCTTATCACTAGGAGTTATCCAAGATGTTCTGTTTGTGTGTATGCATGTGCTTGACATTTGAGAAACAGAAGCAACCACTAAACATCTTAGACAGTGTGGGTTGGGATACACAGAATGTAAAAAAAAAAGATAAAGCTAAATAAGCATGGTGCACCTGCTCTTGAAATCATTCATTGATTGACATAAACAAGTCATGACCAACTCATTTGAGTCACGTATTCCTACTCAGTTGAGTAGGACTCAGCAGCAAGGCTTCTGTTTAATCATTCACAACTTTAGCAGACAAATTAAAAAGTTATTCCCAGTACTAAAATCATTTAGCAAAATGTGTAGAAGTTGTTACCCTCCAAACAAAAGCAATTTACAAGAACCCAGTTTGCTATTAATTCAAAAAACACGTTTCCTCTGTGCCAAATTCCCAGGTGATTCAAGAGTAATTTAACACCAGGCTGCAAAAGCAGTGCTTTGTTGCCTTCTCTGATTGCGAGTTTCAAGCCTGTTTTATGTCTGGTCACATCCAAAATCACTGATAGATGTGGTTAAACCCAACGGTGACATCATTGGCTGCACTTAACAGCAGCAAAACCACCGGAGGTCAGCAAAGACAAGATCTTCAAAGGGTGTTAAGATACTACTGAAATTGGGAAAATAATTATTGTAAATAGTTTTACTGGATAAAAATCTGACCACTGGGGTTGTGGACCATTGAATTATATTATTGGATTGGATTTCGTTGAACTTATGTATGTTGTTTGTTTCACATTTGGGCCCACTGCATATTTTTTTGGCCATTTTTCTTCTTCCTCATTTGCCGGGAGGCTGAGCTGGAGCTGTAGTTGTCGCCTAGTGCTTGCTCATGGTGGTACTGTTGGGTCTCTGTAAATAATGTTTTAAAGAGTTTGGTCTAGACCTGCTCTATTTGAAAAGTGTCCTGAGATAACTTCTGTTATGAATTGGTGCTATACAAATAAAATTAAATTGAAAAATAGTTACTGCAGAGGCAGAAATAAATGTGATACAGTTCAAATCTTATAAAAGTACTTTTTTCAATACAATTGAAAAAAATCACAATATACAATTACAATTTTACGGGTTATTTTAGAATAAAAACATGCCACATAAAACTAATTTGAGGAAAGAAAACAGAAACAAACAATACCTCCATATTGGATAAAAACGTTGGATGGCCAGCGTAAATTACATTCTGGAAAAAGGATGTAGCCGGCAGCATCATCCTGGTGACACATGTACAATCCATCCTGCCAATTCCTTTGCTCTTGTCTCTTGTTTCAACATATCTCAACTGGTATCAAATCTAGCTGTGGAGGCAGTAACCCTGCACCCTGACAGAGGCTGACAAAACGAATACCTGCAGCTCACATAGTGGTAGTCTAATGGACTGGGTACTTCTTCAGGGCCAGCAACACTCAGTTTGACCTCACAGAGATGAGAAATGACATTACTGGGCTTCTAGCTCATTCTGACCCCCAAGGAGAGCCGGAAACCCTCCAGCTCTGAATTTTCACACTTTGCTTTGTGAATGTGCCCTCCTCTTTTTAGCTGCTTTTTTTTTTCTTCCTTTTTTTCCACTCATTCCACCTGACATGTAGGTCCAACGCAGCCTTTGGCTGTGCATAAAACTTTTTTACCTTTTTGTCTGTCTTCAGTTGGTGCTCTCTTTAAGGTTTGTTTCAGACTTGTAGGAAAGCAAATATCAGAATATTTAAGGTGGAACCCAACTTTAGTTTGTGGTAAAGAGCACCATTGGCAAAGTTTGTCTTGTCTCATTACTGAACAGCAGACAACTGCCCCCATTAATATTAATATATGAATTGTGTTTACATTATTTCATTTATTGTGAAAGAGGAGAACAATTGCAGCAGTTTGTAGTGATGCAGTGATGGCTTCGCAAGATGTGTTACTAAAAAAACACGGTTCCTACCTGTCCTGGAAAACTGGAAAATGTAGAGACTAGTTTGGGTCATAGGAACACCTGGAAATTGATATAAATGATCAAATATCTTGGACAATTTCAGTGTATTTGATCCTTAAACTCAGATCACTTCTGTAAACCTAGGGTTTTTAAACTCGACTGTTTTTAGGATAAGATGCACGGTATGA